CAAGTTGATAACCCATCTAAATGCAGTTCCTTCTCCTCATCTTCCAGGCCATATCATCAGTGTCCAGTCTCATTTCTCATCTGAATACTATCTACTGTATAGATTTTTGCTTCTCCTTTGGCTTCATTATTAACCATACTTAACACAATTGCCAGCATAATTCTCCTAAAATGCATGATCACATTACATCTTTTGACTAAAATTTCAATAGCGTTCCTGTTATAAGAAAATATAAATCGTTACCAAAGCCTATATAATTGCCTATCTCTTCTAACTCATTTCTCCCTACCATTTCCCTCTGCTCAGTTTTTACAGCATTTAATTTTTTTTTAACTATATAGAATGTGATGGCTCTTTTATGAGGGGTACCCAAGAAAAATCATCAGAAAAAAGCTCTCTTGGACAGAGCTATAATAGTATGCATTGTTCCTGCTAGGTGAGCATCCAGCAACTCTGAGTTAGTGCACCCAGTGGTGTCACCTGGGAAGGTTCTCTCTGGTCACAGTGAATTTTTGGTAAAGCCAGTTTCGCTCAAACCTCGTTTTTGTGATGGCCGAAGTAGGAGAGCAGCATGTGGTTGTGGAAATTTGTTTACTGCTCAGGGAAAAATGGCACAGAAACTGTTGTGATGATGAACACAGTTTACAAGGGCTATGGTGTATGAGTGGTTTCCTCGTTTCAAAAAAGGTGAAATGTTGATTGCTGACAAACCTTGTTCTGGACATTCATCAACTTGCCGAATTTATGAAAATGTCCAACAAAATTCCTGCACTTGTGCTCAAAGACCGACAATGGACCGTTGAAGAGATGGAGAAGTTATATGGACCATCTTGGAGCTCAGTTCAGGGAATTTTAACAGAAGATTAGGGGAGGGGAAGGGTCGCTGCAATATCTGTGCCTCGGGTTCTGACTGACAAGCAGAAAGAGCGCCGGATGGAAACATGCCATGCTTTGAAAGCACAGCTCCGAAGCCAGCCAGAATCTCCGCGCCCGCCCCCCCCCCACACCCACACACACACACCAAGGTCATTACTGGTGATGAGACAGGGTGCTGTTCTTAGGACCCTAAAAGCAAACATCAATCAAGCCAGTAGGTGAAGCAAAAAAGAGCTGGTCAAGTGAAATCAAAGATTGAGATGATGCTCATTTGTTTTTTGATGTGAGAGGAATAGTGCATTTGGAGTTCACTCCACCAGGCCAGACTGTTAATCAGCTTTCTATTTAGAGTTTGTGAAAAGATTGCGTAACAGTGTGCAATAAAGAAAACTCGATTTATGGCAGACGGGAGACTGGTTTTGCCACAACAATGCACCTGCTCACGCAGCCAACTCAATGTGCCAGTTTTTGGCAAAAAACAGCATGCCTCTCCTGCCCCACACACCTGATTCACCCGACCTCACTCTGTGTGACCTCTTTTTGCTTCTGTGGATGAAGAGGGACATGAAAGAACAGTGATTTGATATCATAGAAGAAAAAAACAAGGGAGGTGCTGTCAGCCATCCAAGCAGATGAGTTTGAAAACTGTTTTCAAGAATGGAATCACAGATACCCAGATCTTTTAAGTGTAATGCAGAGTGCTTTGAAGGTGTTAAGGTTGATTTGTAAAAATATTTAAATACGTAGCTTTGGGGGAAAAAATCCTGGGTTTTTTGTTTTGTTTTGTTTTGTTTTTGGTATCCCATTGTATACCTCTGGGCCTTTATATCCATGGTCCCCAATGCCTTAGACTCTCTTGCCTGTTAGTCTCTTACTCATTCTTCATGCCTGAGTTTTAAATCTAACCATTCCCAAATGTTCTTCCTAACCCCGCTAATCACCTTTCTTTGTTACAGAAGCCTGTTCTACCAGAAATCTTAATTTTATATTTAAGCATGTGT